CAAGTTTTTCCAAATTGCCCAGACCTTCCCTTTCTCCACGACTTCGACATCTCCCTGATTATTCTCGATCCTCCAACGACAAGATTTTTCATTATGCCCCTGGTGTTTACAACAAGTACAGTACTTTGGAAGATTATCATATCTAACCTCTTGATGAAATTCCACTAGTTTCCTAGATTTAGGATCACCAATCTGAATCCTAACCTTCTTGGGATGTTTGTCCAACAGGTCGAGCAACACTTTTACCCTCGCCGTACTTGGTCGCGTTCGATCTTGGGTAGCTTTGTCTACTGCTAGAGGTTTACCAACAGTAGAAGCTATGGACATCAATGACTTCCTTGCAAAAAAATTGCAGGTAGTTCTGGCAGGGAAATCCAAACAACAGCTTTAGACGTCTCTTCTCTTGGATTAAATCCAATCGTCCATGGAAAAGTTCTATAAAAGAACTCATCGCCTTTCGACTTAACATAGCCTGTTGATCTTGATAATACTTGAACAAAATCATCAAATAAATCAAGCCTTACCAGTACATGTCGAAATTCCAGTTGTCCAATATTGCAATTACCTTTAATATCGAACTGTTTCGGCAGAATTTGTCGCAGCTCCTGAAGATCAGGCTTTCCGTATTTAAATTTAATTATAACTGCTTGGTGCATACCTTCCATGGTGAATGAATTCACTTCATCTAATGTGAATTCTACAGTAGGTAGTCCATGCTCAAACGTAACAGGACAAAGTTCCAGTTTTGAATTTTTTTTGGCAGATTGTTTCCCAACAAGCTGCGTTGCATATGTTTGTTTTATATTGTGATTTGTTTGATTTTCTGTAGTGTTTTGAATAGCCTCTCCCACAGCCAAAGGCTGGGGAGAGGGTGCAGCAGCCATGGCTGCCCTACACGAAAAAGACAGAAGTTAGAGAGAGAAAGTAGAGAGCACTATCCTTTTTTGGGATTCTTTGGTTATATCTTTTTTCTCCTTTTTAATTTTATTTTTTATTTTTTGATAAGATGCAGGAAAGAACTTGGAGGAAACTTCTCTTTTGCATTGATTATTTGCTGCAATGCTGTTTCAGCATTTGCGCGTTTCTTTTCTTTTGGCTGCGCCTGCTTTTGCGCGGTTGCCTGGATTACACCTGTTTCAATTTTCAAACAAAGAACAATTGTTAGTTTGAAACGGTGGTTGGTTTTGTGGCCTTGATTGCTTGATCCTGGCCTAGCTTCTGTT